AAAAAAAAAAAAAAAAAAAAAGGATATTTCCATTCATTTCAAAACAAAATTAGATATTTGGTGTGGCAGAAATAAGATTTGTACCGTGTTTGATGGCAGCAACACTGTCTCAACTATCTCATACCAAGAAGTACCAAAAAGGAAGAAACAATCTCATTCAAAGAAACAACGTGCAACTATAAAATAGTAAACTATCTAGAGGTTGGCTGACAATAGCCTACCCATGTGCCACTAGTTACTATGAGCAAATGAACTTCTCCAATTTTTGTATTATGTAAATATAGGCTAATAAAAATGCATAAATTGCATGTGGATCTAAAAGAGGCAAAGAGGCCAATAATTGGATTTGAGTTCCACTACATCCACCCAGGATCATGCGCCAAAGAATAAGTCATCAACAAGCAGTCTTTACTTACCAGAAAGTGCTGTGAGCACACTGGACACTCATGTGGCTTGCCTTTCTCCAGCCAAAACCAGACAACATCATGCTCATCCTCTGCAGTTTACACAAATTCAATCAAATGAACTGAGTATTCAGTTATAGCAAAAGCAATCAGCTATGCATAAATCGATGAAGAAGTTACATGAACACTAGAGTTAAAGGTGGAGAAACATTTAAGAAAAGAGAAAACATACCGCCTTCAGCTCCTGGGCACCCAACTATTCTCTTGTCATAGAAGGATTTGATGACTGCAGGAGCTTCCTATAAGCCAAAAAAATAAAAGGCACATTAACACCAACAACATTCATGGCAAAGGACCATTCTTATAATTATGTAAAACATAAATATCTCAAGAATCTACCAACCTATGGCCGAATTATCTGAAATCCATAGATTCGCAAACTCAGAGCAATATCTTTACATGCAGATTTTAACTGAATCAATTAGGAAAATTACACTCACTTTAATGGAATGTCCAATTACATGTCAACCTCCATACTAGTTTTAAAATAGCAAATGCTTCGTTCTACTACCTCACAGAAGATTATAACTTGTCAGCAAGAGCCAACATAAACAGATAATCATGCCGCATATCTGTCTCTGACGATGAGCCTGGTTTTCTAAGTGCTTGGTGACACAGAAGAGAACACAGAGGTCTCAAAATTCAAGGGCAATGCTGATCATTAGTTGTAGAAAGGGGAGCAGATGGAGAACATGTTTTAAAAATGTTCAAACAAGAGCATGAGAATTTCCCTGCTAACTACCAAGATAGGCTGGCCATGCTCACTAAAATCCCATTTCAGAAGAAGCAAATCGTTCTCCATCCATTTTAAGGTTCAAACTTGTATTCTGTAACTTGGATCTCTAACAGTGAGCTGTCCCATTAAAGGCTTTTCATATAGTTTTTTACTGCACCATTTGCAGTAAAAAGTCCCAACAGAAACAGCATACCTATACTGAAGAAGCTCAATATGCTATGATGCAACTACTCTCAAACTACTTGGATATTGATGTTTCTTATGACAGTTTTGACTAAAAACAAGGATGCATTACTCCCAAGAAACAAGCAAACAACAATCAACATCTTTACGTAAATATTTATATTTATATGTATTTTTCTGCTAGGATGTACGATACCTTGTTTCTAGAAGAGGCATCATACAACATTTTTACATGCAAAGAAACCAAAGACCAGAACTTATCAAACAGACATTAACTGAATATGCCCACCAGGCTACTCATATCCTTCAGTGATGACATCTCAGAACTCAGATGTTCCAGTCTTCCAGAGACTAAACCATAAGAGGGAAGAAGAAGAGAAAAAAAAGGGTACAGAGTAACTGGATAAAGAAAACACAGAACTTGACAACTTAGGAGATCAGATAAATTTATATTAAAGTTGCTTCTAACAATCCTTACTTGAACCCTGCAATGGAAATAAAAAGACTATACATTTACCACTGCCAACCAAGAATATGGACAAATTTACATCAAAACAGCATTTGAATATCCATTACTCAAGCCCTCAAAATGATAATGCGCATGCCATTGCCAAATTAAAAGGAAGAATCTGTTCTCTGAAATCAGAATTAACACACCAGAATGAATCTGGAAATTTAAATATAAGTTGGTTGACCCAACTGTACAAATGGGTGATTACGAAATAAACAAACCTTTGTGCCAAAAGGACCAACAGGATTGTTAAAATCTTCAAGAATTTTCCTCCCCTAAGCAAAAACAATCAGAACCAGTCAGCATGATAGCAACCTCTCAATCAACAAACTCTGAAATGCCAATAAATCCCATAATAAGGTATGCATTTAGAGCAGATGTCCTAGTCTATTTCTTTCTTTTTTTTCCCCTAAGAAACAAAACAATCCCCGAATTCTTTTGGAAAAAAAAAAAAAAGAAGATGAAAAAACCTGAATTTCAGATTCAAGCTCCTCACGCTCGTGCCCAGTGGCAATTGGATTTACGTCCTCAACCCTCTTCTTCACAGCAGTATCCGCTACAGAACCAAACAAATCCACATTATTCAAACAAATCATTCAGTCAACTTCAATAAAACAAGTAAACACGATCATAAAAAATTAGTAAATACGCGATCAATCCATATATTCACCAGCAACATAAACACGGCATCACACACTAATCATGGAGGATCTGATGAAAGAGACTGGTTAGGATTTTGTGTACCTGATTCGGAGGAGAAATGGCGAGTGAGGAGAGAAGCGGAGGTGGATGGAGAAATGTAGAGTTTGAATCTGAGAGGCGGCGGCGGCGGCGTTTCAGAGGCGAATCGGCATGCGCCGTTGGCTAGGGTCTTGAGCTGAGAAGACACTGCTCTTCTCCACATACTTAGCTCAAAGAATCTACGCTGAGAGCTGGTGTTGGCTGATCTCAGGTCGCTCCCTAATTTCTTTGAGGGATCCAAACAAAAAAGCGATTCGTTTTCTCCCTTCAGGCTGCTGGAAAAATGGAAAATGGGGACAAGAAGAAGGCGGCCGATGGGGTTTGGCTGGGTTTACCGTCTTCTGCCACCCTTGCACGTGCGAGTTTGAGATACGTACTCGGTTCCCTCGATCCTTACTGTGCGGTTCTTGTTCATACGGTTAATTAGGTTCGCAACTATAATGCCATAATTATAGTAACCAAGAATGTTTTACGGTTGGAATTATTTGAATGGAACA